TATGAGCTCGGTCGTCGCATTGGGATGGCTAAAGCTGATTTCACAAAACTCCAAAAAGCTTGGAAACACTCTTTCTTACACCGGACGCGAAAGGTTGAAATCTACAAAGCTCTCATCGAACCCAAGCTGATGTACAGTTTGAGTTGCTTGTGTCTCTCTATTGCTGATCGGTGCCGATAGGATGGTTTCCAAATTCGCCGGACGTATTCTTGGCATCCCGCCTGCTGAAGTTCGACGTCAAGCCCGTTGCCATGCTGCTACTGATCTGCTCCTGCATCGTCAACTCCTCCTTTTTGGGAAGGCTTTCAGATCCCTGCTGGACAGCCCCATGCATTCAAACTCATTCATTCCTGGTACCTTGCAGCCTGTCACACATGCTTATGTGAGAAGAGTAGGGAGACCGAGACGTGAGTGGATCACTGAGGTTAGGAACAAGGCTTTTCAATTTGTAGGCGACCACCGCGAAATCACCAGACTTGTACACAATCCGTTTGTCTGCCGTCATGCAGTGTGTCAGCTCTTACGTGTCCACGCCCCGCCTGGCGTATGACCGACTGACTGATCCTCCCCTTTTGTTGCTCTGGCGGCTGCTCTAGACACCGAGATTGAGTGGAAGCACACCGTGCTCTTGACTCTGATGCTGGTAGCAGAGGGATGAATAGCACGTGCGTTCAGATGATCCACAGCATCCGGAATCAGGCAAACGCTGCGCGAGGCTGTTCCACACCAACACAGTGGAGTAAGGCATCAGGTTCGAAGTGCTACCGCGATAACTCCAGAGTGGAGAGCGCACAACGGTCACATACATGTTCGGAGCTTGACGTTCTCCAGATCTGAATAGTTCTGGGATGAGATCGGAGGATGGATGTCTGCTTGGGCAAGCCTCAAAGAACAAGTGACCAAAGCAACACAGAAGTTTCGCCATATCTCGCTGACTGCTTTTTGCTGTGCAGAAGTAGTTTGACTGCAAGACAGCATCTGGCAGATTCCAGGATCTAAGTAGCAATTAAACACCAACTTGTCATTTCGGGTCATCGGTATGTACTGCATAGTCAGAATCCAAAACGAGAGCTTCACAGCCAGTGCGCAGCCCTTGCGCTGTGCTCAAGGGCTTTGTCCCCATGGCATATGTCTACCTCCTTCAAGGTTAAAGTGTAGTCTGTTTGTTGAGTTTTCGCAGTGGCAGCAGAGATTCTTCTTCTGCTTCTTCTTGCTGCTGCTGCTGCTGCTGCAGGTGTTGCTGTTGCTGCTGCGGCTTCTTGTGATTATGATTGTGTCTGTTTGGTGATGCAGAAGCCACGAGCCCAAAGTAGGCGCTTCGGAAGTTTACGGCGTGGACCACTCACCGCACTTGACGCGCTGTGCACGGCGTGTTCTTGCCGAAATGGAGGACAAGGCACGCATTGCGTGGTTTGTAGGCTAAATTGACAACATGAAATGTTGAACCTCTAAGGACAGCAGGGTTGCCCGAAATCGATGTTGCTCAAAAAGGAGAAGGCTCTGGACGCTAGCCTCAACAACCCTTTGCATCTCGAACGCGCCTGGTCCCTCTTCCCATCTAAATGCCATAAAGTACCGCTAAACTCGTACTCGCGCAATCTAATGCATTTTAAGTTTGGAATTATCGCCTTGCTTAATGCCCTGCGGACTGTTTGGCCCCCGTTCCCGCCCCCCCCCCCGGAAGGGAATAACAAGGGCACCCCCCCACCCACATTTAGACCCCCAGATTGGGGGTATTGGGTGGCTTCGGAGACCAAACACATAAAAGCCATGAAGGGCCTGTTAGTACCTAACAGAAGCGTATTAGCAGCTTGTTTTCGGGATGTCTACTCAAAAGCAACCTTAATAGTGACTATTAGTGACTAATAGTGTTCGATTACAGGTGTCAAGATTTCTTCCCACAAAAAAGCATCCTGTATGATTCTTCTTTGTACTTTCGCGTGATGTTTCTTTGTCGTCGTGTACGGAAGGATGGCCCTCCCATCGACTTGTATAAGCAAGGGCCTGGGAATCTGAGCTTGTACAAAAACTCATGGTCACGGCAGCCAAGCAAGGTAGATGGAAGCTTAAATCTGCGCATTGCAGGTCACGGTGGTGTGTGGAGACATTCGCACGGTATCCTTCGAGGAGGATCTGATGTGACTCTGCAATTTTCTGGAACTGTAGTCGTCGAGGGGTTGTGTTTCAACAAGTAATCTGCAGATTTGCATTGCTCATGTTTGGGCAGGACCGCTTTGATGTGGTTGTGGCCGAGCTATTGGATGCTGGTGGCCTGGGTGAGAAGATTGTCCCCTTCCTCCGACATGCCAAAAGCAGGCTGCGCCTTCGTCAGTGGCACTGCTTTAAACTGATCTGTGCAAGGTATGGTTGGGGGAGGCTAGTCTATTTTCCTTTCCAGTTTCCTGCTTTGTTCCCTATAGCTGCCAACCATTTTTTGCATGGGGACAACAGCCAAGACATTCAATGCTGCCATGGTCTCATTGCATGTTAGTACGAATGCTGTCGCTCCGAAGAGCATCAAATGTACTGTGCGGTTTCAGCGGCCTCCAGGAAAGGAAGGTATATTTCCTTGAGGAATCACAAGGACCTACCCAAAAACAAAACAGTTCCCAAAAAAAAACAAGACTTCCAACTGAATTTGGGTTCTTTCAGCCAGAGGGTGCAGGCAGGGTGATGTTTGCTCCACGGCGAGGCTGCTCCGTCCCGGCGGCCGCCTGGTGCCGCGCTCACTGCGAGTCCGCGCGGTGCTGCTGCAGGCCAGGCTGGCGCGGGCAAGATTTTCTGGAGATGCCGACAGCGTGGTACAGCCCTTAGAGGGATGACTGTGGAGCAGGGTTGTTGAAGATACTGTCGGAGCAAAGGACCTCAGCGCCTACGAGCACTTCTGGTTGCCGGCTCGTGCCGCTCAGAGCGAGTGGCTGGGCATCGATCTGGATGCTGGCTGCGAATGGGAACCTGCATCAGAAGTGGTGGAGGTGTTTGGGCTGTGCCTCAGCGGCCTCTAGACCCATAAGTTCAGAGCGCGGTGCTTGCAATGTCCCTGCCGAGGAATTTTCAGGGTTTTCAGGGAGACTTAATCGAGGCGCTGCAGGAGTGAGCCAGAAGTTTTTGAACTGCGTTGGATTGCTGACAGCCTCTTTAATAGGAGCGCGACCTGCGATTTCCGCTTGCGGGGGCCAGTCGCATTAATGCCATTGCCTGGTGGTTTGAGGCAGAATCCCGGCCGACAGAGAGCGGGAGTTGTTTTTTCCCTGATGTATAATTTTTTGGAAGTTGTGTTCTGATCGCTCAGGATCTCGGAGCCGGCGAAGAAGGACAGCCATGAGTGCTTTCAGGTCAACTGCACACCCCGCACCCCGTAACATCAAATATTCCGGACGCCATCAGCAAGAATGTGTATTCTTCAATGAAAACGTTCTATAGTGGCCCCGTCTAGAATCCATTATCAAGGCAAGCCCTTGCCCCAGTAATCGCCTACAATTAGTTCTGATCCCTAATCAATTAGCGAGCTAATAGTAACTAGTCAATCAAGTAATCAGATTTCCGTTTGATGATTTGTATTTAGATTGCTTTAGGCAAAATGAATAAACAATAAACACCTCGGAAATAAAGGGGCCCATAGTTTTAATTAGATATCCCTTGGAGTCTTTTAGCTGAACCCCCTTTGTTAAACCATACAACAACAAGCATAGAGGAAATCAAGGAGATCCCTGCCCCTTGTGATTTGAGACCCCTAGTGTCCTCAGAGCCCTTCAAGTGATTATTAGGCTGGGTCGACGTAGCCCCCTTCATTGCAGGATTTTAGGCAATGATATTCCTTTTTGTTCAGGGAGTGTATAATGTTAGGGGGATGGGATTACTTTGAGGTCTTCCGCAATTGAGGAGCTTGTGATCTGACCAGTGCTCCTGCCCGTTTTCGCCCTGCACACTGTGGAGCAACCCACTGGGCACCCTGACTGCCATTACCACTTGCAGACATGTGAGGCCCCACACATGCTTTGCTGCAAGCACGCGTATATATATACATATATATATATAATTATATATATAGGAGCTCTCACATCATCTTAGCGGCACCTGCGGGGCATGAAGTGGACCTGATTTGCGAAGCATATGAGGTGCAGGCGTTGGCAGGCCTGGATTTGGACGCAGTTGTGGTGAATTATGTTCTAAGCTTGTGGATGCAGGGCATTCGTTTAGGCCAGATACTGCGATCTTGCGAAGGCATCGGTCCTTACGAAATTCCAAGCAGCTCCTCGGCACTCAAAGTCCGTGTTCGCACGGACGGAGTGAACATCACCTGGACACCTATGGGGATGGACACGCTTGCAGGGCCGGCGGAGACTTGGCCGATTGGATCCGTAAATCGCACTTCTGAGTTTTGAGCATTGCGCGAAGCAAGGCGCTGCCGGAAGTTCCTGGCGAGCCTGACGATGTGGCTACTTGGCGGGAGAAGTCCGCCGCTGCCACGAGGCAGCTACAAGGCTCCCTGCCCCATCCCATTGCTTTGCCTGTTTGTGTTTGGCCTGATGGTGGGCTTTGGCTGAGACATGGAGAACTCTCTAGACCGCATCGGTGACGTCGCGCGTCTGCAGGCCTGCTTTGCACAGATTTTTCGCAATCTTGGATGGCCTTACTCCAGCCAGGCGTTGCAGGCTGCAGCACTTCACCTGGCAGCGCAGCCGAGGTTCTTTGGGCTGGAGGCAGACCAGCCTACACAACACTTCGCCCATCAGCTTAGCGCGACAGTAAGGTTTGACCTCAAGGGCCTGAAGCAAAGCAAAGTGGGATTTCTGATATTACTTTCTCAGTCCACCAAATGCACAAAATCCTGGAGAACGATTGGTTGCAGTTCAAACGTGCAGTGACGAGGCAACTCCTGACGTTGCTGCCCGACTGCTGAAGGGGCTCTTCGTGTGAAGGAAAAGATGTGCTCAGACGGTGCTACGTTGTACGGCATCTCACATGTCATATGCTGACAGAATTTGTTCCTGCCTTAGGTGCCAACTGTGGAGAAGGCCTTCCCTCAGGCATGATTTGCAGCTTGAGTCCTCTGATTTCGCCTCAGGAGCTTGTGGCCTCCCAGCCTGCCGCGGTGAGCGCCGCGCGTGGAGGAGCCTGGGGATCAACCCTTGAGGCCAGCAGCTCAGGTGGTTCTCAGCACACACAGCTTGGTGACAAGTGTATCAAGGCACCTTATGCAATTACGTGCTGCAAGGTGTGTTGGGTGTGTTGTGTAGGCTGTTACCTCCGCTCCAAGGCTATACTTTGCATGGCTTTGTGTCTACAGCCTGAGACTAGTTATTTGTCATGTGCGTGTTGGGCTGGCAAGGCTGAAGAGGACGTGAAGTCACAGGCTGGCAATTGGCGAAACGAGGCCGGGAGCCCAGTCTAGCCCAGACAGGACAACCTCAGAGGCTCAAAAACAGCAAAAACACATGCTGACAGCAGACACATGCAACATTGTTGTGCGGTATTTACTTCTGCCTTCCTAGGATGCAATCCTTCCATGCCACACGTTGGTTGTGCTTCGCTTCAATGTGCGAGCAAAAGTCTCCGTCTCTCCGAGGTCTGCAAGTTCCTCTCCGAGCCCAGACAGAATCCTCTGGGAGGTCGAGTGCTGAACCTGCAATCGTGATTGGGAGAAGAAGCGGACATGTTGGGAATGAGAATAATAAAGTCCTGCAGGTAATGTGCACCTGTCAACCCTGCAATCGGAGGGGTGATGGGCGATCGAAGAATCAGACTGGTGTGGTACCGTACCGGTTTTCAATAGACTAAAATCAAGGCAAACACAGAGACTATAAGACCAAGACTCAGACTCGTTCTTGAGGTGTTTTTCACATTGTAGATGCTCGCGACTTCGCGCGGGGCTTGGATTGCACAGGAGCCTCGCGTTTGGCTTGGCGTCAAGCCAGTTTGCAGCTTGTTGCAGACCTGACCTGCCTTTGCAGGTGCAGAAACTCAGTGCAGAGGCATTCGGAGTCGGGAGTAGAGTGTTGCAGAAAGATTGAAACGTCTTCACCGGCACGACAAGTTTCCGCTGCAGGTGCCGAGCTACTGCAGACCCGGCGAGGAGGTTCTCATCAATCGAAGGCGGGTCGAGCCTCGCAAAGTTGGCAGCCAATACAGAGATCCCTGGTAGCCAGGCATCTCAGATGGCAGTCAGCTATTGTAGTGTCTCTGTACCTCAGCAGGTTGTAAAGCATTCTGACAGCATCCATTCCTCCACAAGGAAGACTTTCCAGACTGCATCGCTGAGGCATATCAGCTTACTTACGTTCCTAGAAGTGTTTGCGGATTCCCCTAATGTCTCAGGCATTCACTTAGCAAATGGCGAGCACCAACATGGCAGCTTCCCTTCGTGCTGCAGGCTGGAGACGGTCTTGTCATCCAAGTCGACGTGGCTTCCAGCTGATGTCATGCTGGCACCAGATTTGGAGCATTGGTGAAGTGGCGGTGCAACCCATAGCAAGTGGCCTCGTTGGCCAGGATTGCCTTGTGCAGGAAGCAGCCCTGCGCTGCCTCCTTGGAGTTTGGCCCCTGCTCTTCTTCCACCTCTCTGCCTGTTGCTTCAGGCGCACGACCAAAGCGATACGCGTGAAGCTAAGCAAGACTGCCAGTAGCTCGCACGATGCTCGATGCTCGCGCGACGTTGCACCCTGTGCAGTCTGCAGATTCTTCAGTTGCAAGCAGGTACTGGTTGTTGCAGACTGCGCAGAGCTGAGTTTGGGTGGATCGCGAAGGCTGAGCATGAATGGGAGTTGCCGTTTGTGGATTTGTTCCGCTCCTTGTGAATCCTGCATTTGTGTTAATTGTCTTGCGCCCGCAGTTTCCGTCATCAATTCTATGTGATGCCCTTCGCGCGGACGCTCAGCCTTGCATCGTCGGTTTTTGATGGGTTGCCTCCCTGCGAGGTTTGACCACTTCAAGTCTTTTGCAACCTTCTGGTGGGTGAGTTTCTCGGCCTAGGTTGCCCAGCAGCGCAGGGCTTTCCTGCGAGAGCTGCGCCCTTACGGGATCTGTGCCAGCTTCTGATGCCGCATAGCATCAACTGGCAACGATTGAGGAAGCTGATGCAGGAGGCACCAGGAAGTAGATGAGAGCCATGTGTTCATGCCTGGGAGATGAGGTAAAAAACTGGGAAGGGTTTGGCCCGCCTTCTTGGGTGGTCGCTTGGAGGTGAAGCTGGCTGCAGAAGCCTATGGAGACCAAGCGCCGGAGATCAGCCTTGGCCTTGGGCTGCCCAGAGACCATCTCTGTACTCAACACTGACGCAAGGTGTCCTCTTGGCCGATTCGGAGCAGTTCTACCACAGCTGGGAGTTCTGGAGGCCTTCGCAATTTACATGTCACCTTGGTAAGCTGCGCGTTGGTTGCGAATTGCTTTGAGGCATTTCTGGTCTTGCGCGCTGACATCCGGGTGACAGAGTGCTCTGCAGCACGATCAGCAAAAGCAGCATTCGCAAGCCGTTCCCTCTGGCCATGGTCGGATGATATTGCTACTGGGTAGCCAACAATCCCAGCCCTTGTTAGATGTGAATCAGAATAAGGGGATGTACTTGTGGCTTCTTACGCTTTCAACCTCATGCTGCTGGATGCTTTGCATTGCTTTGCGTAGACTCTGACGCATGCGTGAAGGCGATGAAGCTGCGAAAGTTGTGTTTCATGCAAGGGTCTTTTCGCGGAATCGCTTTCCGTTGCCGCAGCATTCCGGCTCCCCCGTAGCAGCTACAAAGTATCTAGCTGGAGCCGGTCATCGTCCATCATGCCACAAGTCAGCCAGCTACCTGAACTATTACCGCGCATGATAAGAGGCTGTAAGTGTCCAGCAGGCACACAGCATGCATCATTCTCCCTGGACTCGTTTTTTTCCTCATGCTCCCACAACCTGCCGCAACCAACCGTTTCCGGATATGTAGAGTCTAGATGTGAAGCCACTGAATTTAGATAGATTTTGCTAAAGCTCAGTCGGCGCAACAAACCAGCTCCAAAATTGTTAAGCGATGCCGGCAGCCTCGTCAGGACAGCATGAATAGATAGCAACCAGCAGTTTGTTCGCCACTTCTGGGCAAGGGGCCACATGAAAGTGTATTGCTGCAGGCACTCTTTCTGCCAGATGGTGCAAAGCCATCAGCTCAGCAACATGCGTATTCTTGCCACTACTCGCAAAAATCTGGGTTTTGACCATGTTCTCAGTGCTGCTTGAGCTTGACGGACGCTAAGACCCCAACACCGCGGAATGCGTTCTGCTCAGTCGGCGTCAAGAAGTGGCTTCGATCGGTCTGAAATTTCCTGCTAGTGAGCACATCTGTTGAGTCTGGTGTGCCAAGCGTACCGTAGCGTCAAAGGCTCGTAGGAGGTATAAGCATTTGCATGCCTTGAGGTCCCGGCGGCAAACGTATCAGGCCAGCAGAGCGCCTTTGGTAAGGTACGTGCATAGTGCATGGAAGCCTTTTCAGGAGCGCTTTCCTCTGTAACTACTTGCAGCGGGAGCTCATGCGAGGCCATCTGGTTTTGTGATCAGAGCATTTTGGATTGAAGTGCTCCTTGCCTGAACCTCAGGCACGCTCCATACCCACAGGGGTCCGTGTCGCGGTGCGGATCAGGCCGCTGTTGGCACGGGAGGCCATGGAGCCGCAGCAAAGAAGCAGGGTGATGACTCCCTGGCTCTGTCAGTTTTTTCAGGCGGGTCAGCGCCAAGGGGTGCGCAGTTACCCGGCCCAGGGCAAGGTCGTGCTGATTGGCCTTGATCGTGGTCAGGCGCGCCGTTGCCCAAAACACAGATTCCAACTCTAACGGAGTCCTTTGTCGGATGGCGTGTCTTGCCAGTTTCAAATACAGCTTTCGGCTCGTGGGTTTTGTTCGGACAGATCTGTCCAGGAAAAGTGCTTCATGATCGACTCTGTGCTGGACAGCCGGCCGCCCATTGAGAGGACCTGAACATGTCGGCTCTCCTGCCTGTGCTGCCCTTGACATTCCTTGAAGCTGCCAGGAGTACCGGCAGCCAAGTTGCAGGTCTGCTGCTTGTTTTGCGGTTGACAGGGTCCTCGTGACTCAGCATTTTGTTACAAGACGAAACAAAAGCTTGCTTAAGCTTAAACATTCCCCCGACTAGTATCAGGCAACAGCGCGACCGGCAGGCCTTTGCCGCGAGATGTCTATTGAGAGATGCGCAGAAGAAGTGGATGCCACCCACATTCTTCAAGACATCGTTCTTGGTGCCAGGGAAAGCTCTTCCACAGATGGCTCGCAGGAAGCCGTCTATGAGGCTCCATGCGAATGAGTGATTAACTACTGACTCGCAAGTGTAGATGAGCTTGTGAAGTTATCTCCTGCTGAGATTATGTATCGCTGTGTCCTTGTCTTTGTGCCCTCCGAGGCAGTTGGAGCCGAGCTCGTGCGAAAGGCGGTTGAAGGCCATTACATTGTCCAGCAACCTTGGATTCCTGGCTGACTACACAACACGCGCGGCCCAAGTGCCAAATGTGCCAATCGCATGTCATCACGCCTGATGTCTTAGATCTGGGCAGCCACCAGCATCTGCCCCCGCGCAAGGCTACAACGCTTGCATGCTGGCCTACGGTCACACAGGCTGTTGTTTTCGAGCTCTGGGTCTTGTCCAACTGCATGTGGCTGAGATCCTCTGAGTTAGATGCTCGGTTTGGCCCGCTTCTTTCCCAAATGAACTCGGCAGTGAAGGCTCTGGAAAGACCTACACCGTCATGGGTTCCGAGCTGGAACCTCTGCGAGTGATGCTCCTCACTGCTGCAACCCTTAATTTTAAACATGTTGATGCGATTCTGTAGACAGCGAGGTTTACGAGGGACTTGGAGCCGGATGACCTATCCCCGCTGCAATGCGAACCTCGGTGCATCTTGAAACTGTAGGAGGATGGCGCAGCTGGCGTAATCGGTAAAAGGTAGGTACACAAGGACTATTCTATTATTGTGATTTTCCACAGCTGGCAGCTGCGAGCAGATGTCTCTGGACCGCGATTGTGCGGGGTAATTTCCCGAAGACATGGCTATCCTTGATGGCTCATGTTGCATGCAACCCAGGACGTCAAGCCGTCCAAGGGCACAGGTTGTGACCTCGGCATTTCGACTGTGCACATGGGCCACGCATGTAACGCCACATCACGCGAACGAGGCACGCCGCGAACTGCCACGCGGGAAAAGGTCAGCGCATCTCCCCTTGAGAAGGCATCGGCGCCCTATTGCCCGAAGCCTTTGTTTGAGATTTCATGCTGTAAGTGTTCTTGTTTTGGAGGGCCCGACAGACAGTAGCTTCGACATGGACGTCCGGCCCACAGCACCGGGGTGTTTCTCTGAAGTCTGTGAGCATTAGACGCTCAGGTGGGCTTTGGCTCTGGCCTAGTGCCTCGAACCCTGGAAGCCATTTTCAATGCGCTCAGCGAGGATGGGAGAAGCTTTAATCATATTCCATTCTTGAGTCTTGAGCGTAGCAAACCTCAGCAGGAGCCTGATACCGTCTGTGTGGCCTCCTTCTACGAGGCCTCTGGTTAAATCGGGCCAACTTGGTGTAGTGTGAGTCGAAACAGCAAGCCAGCTCCTTAAGTGCGGCGCAGATCCACAACGAGCGGATCCGAGATCTCCTTGCGCCTGCTACGCCGAAGGAAGCGCCTGCCTGGCAGGACACCACTGAAAGCCAACAGATCGGCCGTATGCATTTTGCAAAGATAAGCCGCTATGACTTGTCCGCCCTGTGCCTCATGCTGAGGTCTCCCAGGGTTGATGAGCGTTTTGCTGCCTCTCAGGATGGCGGAAGCGGCGGACAGCCCGTGCCCTACAGAGGAAAAATGGGCGTTGCGACAGTGCTGCGGAGTGCAGTGAATTGGGGTTGGAGTTTTCGCGTTCTGAGCCCAGTTCTCAATCCCATCCAAAATGCCGGGGCTGGGATTGGGCTTCCGGTCCGCACTCCAGTCTTAGGACGGAAGCAACAGGCGAGATCTAAAATGAAGAGCATCTCCCTGGACTACAATTAAAGGTGACGAATGATAACGCTGTAGAGCAAGTCGTTGCAAAGAACTTCAATGTTTGCCCGACTTGTGTCATCAATGCTAGCACAGTGGCCTGAATTAGGATGCTGAGCTGAGGCCTCGGAATGGTCGCTCGCATAGCAAGACAACGGTGGCCGGCTGAGACTTGCTGTTCCTGTGGCTCCTTTACCTTTGTTGCCTCTTGTTGTCAACGCTCATCTGCAGCTCAGTAGCGCTGGCCTTAGGTGCACTTTCATCCTCGCTTCGGTGCATTTGTGGCAGGGGCTGGAGCCCAATCAATCGACACACTTGGAGCATGGCAATATGCAAAGACACGGGTGGCTGCATGATTCACGCCGGATTTAGCCGGAGATGTTTGAAGGTTGAGGAGGTGCCCTGTGACGATGTGCAAGAGGAAAGCGCTGGGGTTATGACCAGACAAGAGGCCTGTTGCAAGGCTCGCATGATTTGATTCGGCAGGCGCTTCGTCTGGTCAGCTTCGGGTCGCAGGCGGAATGGAAGACGCGGACAGCAGTGTGACCCTAGCGGAGTCTGGGCAGCGCAGGTCAGAACAACTGCCGCGACCATGCTGAATGACCGTTCGTCTAGGTGTCTCAACGTGAAATAGCACCCGAAGAATTTTTCTGCATTTGGTAAAGACGCAGTGGCAAGCTGGAAGTAACAAGACCTAAAAAGATACATGCCCATAGTTCATGCTCCTGAGGTCACATGCAATTTTCTGTCTGCGCATGGAGCGCTCCACTTCTAGCAACAGGCCGGGCTTGAGAGAGCGGATGCATGAGGTTTTCCTTGTCCTTCTGCACTAATAATAATTCGCTCTTCGCTGGCTAGAATCCGTTTCTAGTTAGCTGGTGGTTCGAACTTAGCCGGCCCGCAATATTCTGGCACCTGCTGCAGCATCATGCTCGTGGACCTGGCTGGCCGTGAACAGGCACCTGCTTGACTAGCTTTGCTGGGCTGGCAATCGTGTCTGGATGCAGTCGAGAGATTACAGCGCTAGACCGTGTCCGCCCTAAGTGCGGTCGCTGATTGAAAAGATGTGGATGATCCCTTCAGGAGCGGCTCTCTATGTGTCGCACAGAGCGCTTTAAGGCCGGGCTATTCTGCAACTCAGATGCTTGGAGGAATGTGGAGCGAAGTGTTGCAGAGAGAGGGTTGGAACAA